TAAAGTGTGCGAGTACTGCACAAAGCTAGGGACCGCTGTACTTCATTGAAGTTACGAGGCGTTCTCCATTCACGAATGCGCGCCATCTTGTCTGAGTCACATGAAGTCCATGATCATCAATTACATGACCTAGGCAGTCCATTCGCTTCGAGTAGAGGTTGCACTTAGTTTTACTCAAATACAATTGATACTGCCTGAGACGATCGAATACCATCCCTAAGTGTTTTTCATGATCCTCAATAGAATCCGAAAATACGAAGATATCGTCCAGATAGACATGTACAAACACTCCAATGAATTCACGGAATATGAACGTCATAAGTCGTTGAAATGTAGCCGGCGCGTTTGTATCGCCTTGCTGCATGACGTAGCTGAGAAAAGTACCGTAGATAGTGGCGAATGCCGTTTTCCATACGTCCTTTGGCTCGACTCGGATTTGTTCGTAAGCGTCCGACATGTCAATTTTCGAGCGGAATTTTGCCTTCGCAACGTTCATACGAATCTGATCTTGGTCTGGGAATGGTGTTACGTCGTGCAGCGTGTTGTCGTTACGCTGTCTGCAATCCACCACTGTCCTCAAACGACCATCTTTCTTTGGGATGCATAGGAGAGGAGCAGCTTGGCTGACTGTTACATCTTTCCACCAGTTCGCAGATTTATACCGTTTGATCTTGGCTAAAAGCAACGGTCGCATCGACTCTGGACAACGAGGCAGATGATAATTATATTGAGCATTATCATCCTTGAGACGAATGTGGTGATTGATAGGCCGCAATGGGGGTAGTCTCAATGGAATATCTCCCATTAGATCTTTACACCGCTCCAACCATTCTTCTCTAAGTCGTGGAATGTCTTCTTCAGTGAAATCGCCATGCTCATGAGCATGCCGAATACATTCCTCGAATGTGTCCAATATTGACTCGTTAATTCCAAACGGGTCTTCATTGCCGTACTTGTCTCGAGGACCATCATATGATGAGTGAAGTGTAGGCGCGAAATCCATACCCAACAATGGTATTTTCTGATTCACGTCACCCATCCGTTCGCTGGATTGCTTGACTGGGACCCTTCGTCGAGTTGTCTGAGTCTCTGCGTCTGGTGTAGGAGGGTCCTTAGGCTGAGATTTGTCATCGATAGGTCCTTTAGTATTACCGATACCAGGTTGATTACCGTATAACGAATCATTAGTCTTTGGTTGATTTAAGTCATCCTCAACTAATTCCAGTAATGGTCCAGACGAGTACTGACGAGGCCTTGTGAATTCCTCATCTGGCACTTCCTCAATAGTTACTCGCCGTTTTGGCCGCGGCGTGACCATCGCCGCGCCAGGGATTCATTCTGGTTTATGGGATTGATCCGTCTTGGCAGGCTTCCTGCTCTTTATACGATTCGTATGCACCTGTCCCTCCCCCTTTGGAGGTGAGGGAATGATCTTCCCGAATACCGACAACGTATTATCCTTGAAGTTCATAATCGTTTGGCTTACGCGCAAGAACGGTGTGCCGATTACAATATCATAGCGGTTGATATTAGCCACGTCAAAATAGTGATCAATGGAATGACCGCCAATCGATAGCTTCAAATGAGCACCATAGTTGACCTTTGAGCGACTACCCACAGTGCCAAGCTGAAGGGATGTGGGGTTATTCAGCTCAAAACATGTGATATTCGCAATACGCGCGAAGTCCGGGCTAATGCAGTCAAGCGTGCTGCCCGAATCAAACAATGTATGGGCCAATATACCATTGATGCGAATGTAGCCAGTCATGCATTGACGCTCTGAATTCGTTCGTGTTGGGCGATTGCCTGGTGTGTCACGTAACACCAATTGGCTACGTACTGGCACTAAGTCGCCATCGACGGGGGTAGTGATCACAGAAGTTGTAGGTGTCTTAACTTCCTTAATGGCCAGGATATATGGCGGAAGATCCTGGGATTCGAACTCCTGGATGCGCGCTCGTAACCTTAAGATATCGTCTTTGAGGGCATCACATATCCCGAGTTTCTGTAGCAGTGCACGGTTATCCATAGTCAGTTGATCATTCTCCCGGCCAAGTGCTTCATTAGATTCCCGTAGTAACTGGTTCTCAAACTCGAGGTCATCTATTCGGCGCTGAAGATCACTAACCAGAGGTGGCACTGGACCAACCGACATCTCATATTCGTTGGACGATGGATCATTTCCAACTAATACTGTATGCGCTGTCTCGCCATCCGAGTCCGGGGCACTAGGTCCGACTTCTTGAGTAGATAACTCAGGATGGTGATCTGCCCATGCATCATGACCCGATGATAATATCTCCTCATCTGATAGATCACGGATGGCGGTAAGATACTCATAAGGGCTTTCGCCATCGTCCGATAGTATAAAGTCGGCGATATTGGCCTCATCATCTTCATAGTGCATGAGCCCAATTCTGTCGTCAGAGTCAGGCTCTTCATTGTCATATTGGTCACCATCATATTCCTGATTGTAGAAGTCGTACTCATCCTCCTCGAGGGGTTCAGCTAACCCATCACCTTCCGGTGCTCCATACTCATCTTCCATGTCAGGTTGGACGGTCTCTGCAACGTCTTCGCCCTGATCGTCATCCATGGCTCTCATACGCTCTTTTGGTCGAGTAGGACAATCCTTGCTGAAGTGTCCTTTCTGACCACAGCGGAAACATGAGTCTGTACTCGTCGCTTGACGAGTAGAGCCACTAGTCGCTCCTCGTGGAGCATCTTTACGATCCTGATTAGGTCGTTGAGGAGCCGGATTAGTTCGACGAGGAATGATGCGACTGTTCTCAGCGGGAGCTGATTGTCGAGGATGCTGGATGTCTCGTTGAGGACGAGACCATCGTGCATTATCACCCGTCCACTGTTGCTGCCCAGTTCCCGACATATTCGGGGATTGGATCATTGGCTGAACGACTTGTGCCGGTTTCGTTCGCTGGGGAGCAGTGGGGCGAGTAGGTGCGGGTGGTCGAGATCCTCGATGCACACTGCTAGTATTGAATGTAGACTTCTCATATTTGCTAGCTTTTTCCAGGGCCTCTATGTGCTCGACTACTGTAGTCAATGGACTCTCCTCGGGAGTCAGCAGTCGAACGTATAAGCAGTCATAGCGGATCCAGTCAGGAATACTGTCAAATATACATTTTTTCATGTCATACTCATGGGGCTTGGCAGCTCGTCTGCGTCCCCAGTACTCGAGTTCATTTACCATGTGCCGAATGCCATGCTTCATTGAATATGTGATCCGTTCATACATGTTGTCAGCCTCCTTGGAAGTGGCT